TTTGGTGCCGGGGATCCAACTGGGGACATTGCACTTGCAAGGCAGGCGGCAGAACCACTGAGCTAAATCCCCAGCCCTCTAAATATATTTTAATAGACTTAACATACATCCAGTTCTTCAACAAATGCTGCTAAATCTTCTTTCCAAAGATCTGAAGGTGATTTTCTTTTAAGATCATTGACCTCTCGGCCCTATAATAAAAAAGCAATGCAGTTTAATATTCAATAATTTTTAAATATATAAAGGATAACCAAAATACTTATTTTTGGAAAAAGGAAAACAAAAATATGGATGATACTGAAATAGTTTCAAATTATTTAACCCACAAAAGTTCATACTTTTGCATCTCTCTGTTTAATCAGTTCTTCAACTTTTTCTTTAGTAAGAGACCACAGAGACATATTTAAAATATAATTAAAATCAGGGCCTGAAGGAGTTCCTGAATCAGAGGAACTATCATCATGTTGGTTTTGTGTTTCTTCCTCTTCTGCTGCCTGTAAAAAAATAATAAACTTTATATTAAAGTCCTGTAGAATATCAAATCAATGTTTAATTTTTCTGAAAATCAAGTTAAAACTCTACATATGATACGCTGTTAATGCTATACCTTGAGGGTTGTGGGGTTGGATTATCTGTAAATTAACTATAAACATTTTGTGTAAAAAATTTTAAGATTTTCTAATGATGTACAATAAAATCTTCAGGAGGAATGTTATATTCAGTCCCTATTTACCCAAGAATTTGATGAAAAATTAACTGCTTTCCTCAGGAACTAAGTCACAAAATGGGAAGACTCTATATGTTAAAATTAATAGAACTAATGCTTTACCTTGCATGTTATCAGATTTTTATACTAGTGAGTGAATGAGTAATTTGAAACCCAAGGTAAATATCATTTATGAAAAATGTTTTAGTTATGATAAATATGCTAAAGTACATTAACTCACTAAGGATGAATTCTTAATCAAAATTTCCTAAGCAACAATACTAATGTGAGGACCCAGAGAATAGGCTTATGAAAGAATTTAAGAGTTGGTGAGTTATAATAAGAAGTGTCAAGGATTCACTGAAATTTTATTTATAGGCTTTTTAATAAAAACAAAAAAATCTTGTG